TGATTCCAAGTTTGAATAAATTTCGGAAAGATTAGATTTGAATAAATTTAGGAAAGATTAGATTTGAATAAAATTAGGAAAGTCATATCCTAGGATTAAGGGAAAGATTTAATCAATCCCTAATTGAGAGAAATTCTAGGAGTAATTGAGAGAGATCCTAGGAGCTTGTATGCTCAACATGTTTTATTTAAGTTGTATGCTCAACATGTTTTATCAACACATTATCAATACAGAAGTATTTCTTCTTCTCTTCCTCTTTATTTTTCCACAAGAAATAAATGCAGTTTTGTGGGTATACCTGATTGAATGGTTCACCAGGCTTACAATCAACAGCCATGTCCATACGGGCAACAAAGAAATGTTGATGAACTGGGGCATATAACCCTGGTGCAATTGTTGTTCCATATTTTCTTGATTCTCCTGGCTGCAATGCTCCCAGGCTAAGAATTCCAGTAAGTTTAACCTCAGCTTCAATTTTTCCATCCTGTGACCAAAACGTGTAACAAATAAATTCACAAGTATTGCAAACTAAAACTTTTAGTAGAGTGCAGAATTTGATCAAGACAAGGTCATAATTTTAAATGTTTAATAGAATTTGAGGTTCAGAAAATGTTCAACACCAAAGCTAAAATACCGTTAAGTTCAAAGAAAAGATAATAGAAAAAAAAAAACAAATGAAGTTCAAATTAATTAGAACTGATGTTAAAATTCATTATATCCATTGACAACCTAAGGTTTCCTTTGAGCTAACAATTTAACACTCATAAAGATAATAAATTTTTTGTGGTTTTGCCCACATCTCTTATCAACATATACTTCATACACCAGTTACAACCTTGAACCTTAGACCTACCTAATAGGCATTTAACCAATAAAAAAGGAAGAAAACAGGGATATTTTACACAGCATAAAAGCTCAAGTTGGTTACACCCTAATAACTACCATTTAATAAAACAAAAATGACCTACATGCTTAACTGAAACAAAGAAATAACCTACCTGATAAAAGTGCCAGAAGAATCCATATTCATAATTTGCAACAGTGCATATAAAAGACACCGTTAGCCGTCTAGATCTCCGAACTTCTGCTAAGCCTGTCCTCCAGTCCTGATGTTTCCATAGGATTCCATGATCCTCTTCATGCAAACAGACACAATTTTCAATTGTCTCAACACCTCCAGTAAAATTTGTAAAGTGGGCATCAAAGTATTTGATGTAACCCAAACAATCACATCCCTGACAAAAAAAAATAAAAAATATATATTTCTCATAATAACAATTTGCATGGCTGAAAAAAGGTGGACAACGTCAATGTTCCAACCGAAGGCAAAGCATAAAATAAGTAATTGCACCTTCTTAAGAGAATGGGCATTTTTACCAAGGCCATCTTCCCCAGCATCAAATGCATTCTTCCTATAGTGTGGCTCATTTGGATCTCCATAAGGAACTACCATCTCAACAAAGCTCAACCTATGGGCCACAGATCTCCGACCTCGACTACCATCAATATATGCAACAGAGTAGATAACCAGACCTTCCCTAGGAGTGAAACCAATGCGAAAATTCCACTGCAACCAGCCAAAATATAAAGATGCATCTCATCTTAAGGCCTTAAACATAGTGGAGAAAGGTAAAATGGTAAATAATCATAATTTATATGGGCACGTTAGTATGTACCTTCTGCCATTCTACAAAGTGTCCATTGACACGAAAGCTTGGACCTTCAGGCTGAATAATTTGTAGGAGCTTCACATCACTTCGGTCAACACCTCCTCGTGTTTCACCAGGAGTATAATTTCTCAATGGATCAGCTGGAGGTAGAGGAACAAGCTTCCGGTCTTCAAACTTAATTACCACCATATTTTGCATGTCAACAACCACATATATGCCTTCAACGGGACGAGCATAACCATTTTCCATTGGGCAGTCACTCTCAGTTCTACAAAAGATGAGTGGTTTGGCAAGCCTGCGACTAGGAGCATCAGCCTCACTATGATAACCAGCACACCTGTAGGAAAAAATTTACAGTCCAAAGCATAAATAAAAGATTAAATTCTATATTAGCAACATATTCTCACAAACTAGAGGTGTAAATTTTGATTCCCATGAATAGCCAGCACACCAAGCTAGGCCTGAACGTGGGGACATTTAAAATCCAACAGAATGTTCAGCCTGCACCCTGCCCACTTGCACCTTGACTCACAGTGTATCATAAATAAAGATACAGATGCAGAATTGACTAACCAGGCATCTACCATCACAAGATCCATATCCTCAATACCCCTCTTCTTCATCGCCTCCCGAAATGGAGGGTAGTCTTTAACAACAGCTTCACATTCAGCATACTCTACAGCATCCTGCAGATGCAGAACAATGAAAAATGAAATAGAGATTCTAAGGATGTATATCTAATTAACAGGAAACTAGAAGCATCTTAGGGAAAGCAAAAAAAAAATCCCACTTAGCATAGATGAAGTCATTATCCCATGATTTGTAGTTCTATCTTTAGAAATAGTGGAAACCATTTTAGTAAATGATGTTTTTTGAGTTAGTAAATGATATTTTTTGAGTCGGTAAATAATGTTAAAATAAATTTAACTACCTTCTTTTGGAAAACAAAAGAAAATGAAATAAAAGAAAAGGTCATTGATCAAACTTCAACTAAATCCACCAAGTGATCCAAAAACTTAAATTTAGTCCGCCATAGAACCACAATCAGTCTTCATGGGTTTTTCGAGAATGTTTTCCTAGTAAACATTCAGCAGGTTCAACAAAATGTCAAAGAAGTATTACATACCATGGGAGGTTGAACATCTGGAATGACTTGTGATGAAATGACTTTCCCCCTATGATGTCCACCTCGAGTTGCTGCATGCACTTCAGATAGTTCAACAACCCAGACACTTGTCTCGTTTGATTTTTTATTGTATACAACAAGTCTAGCACGCCTTGGAGGAAGTTTACTAGGAATAACAGGTCCACCTTTTGTTTTGGGGAGTAATGATGGCTGGAATGGAGGGAAGAAATATGCATCTGCTAACGCAACAACATTTTTATCTGGTTCCAATAAAACAACTTCAATAAAACGCATGCCATCTCTAACCTGAAAATGAAGAGAAAGGAACCCATTACAATGAACCTAAAACAAGTATAAGAATAGGTTCCAAATTCAGCTCCAAGTATCATTCCATGCCATATTATTTTCTAAACCTATATCAACAATAAATAAGATGTATTAAATAACCTCAGGAGTGGCACCAGCAGCCCTGACAGTTGCCACTGCTACAGAGATTTCAGCAGCCAATAAAGGGTCCAATGGATGGCTGGATTGAGCCCTCATCATGACTTGCAGACCTGTACAATCATGAAGATGAAAAAGAAGGGAGAAGAGCACAGAAAGCAACAGAAAATTAGTCACAAAGAAAACAATACATGCAGTATCCAATGTCTGTAAAAACAGAAGCTAGGAAAAACATCAAGCAGCTAATCAGAAAGCATCCAATATAGGGCATACTTATGCCTCAAACTTGCATAAAAAGGTCATAAAAAAATCCCTAGTTTTCTTTAATAAATATTGAAGATGCACAAATACCTACATAGAACTCACAAGTACAAAAGAAGATGAATAATAAGGAGCAAAGGATTTATGTTAACATCAGGAAATGAGAAGGCAGATGAAAAAGAATAATCGAAAGGTCAGGCTTCTATCAACATTGCACTGGAGTCCTGAACTAACCTCAGTATGATGCTTGGTTTTCAGTTTACATAATGTACAACCATTTTCCTTTTACCAATGAAGTTCAATGACAACTTGAAATAATCATAATGTCAACATAAGATGATGGTAACTCACTTTGAAGAGACTATACGCACTTTTACGGATGATGATGTCTTCAAGCATTCAATAGGCATGCATAATGTAATAGAACTATTATTTGACCCGGCAGGGAACTGGTAGGAATAGAATAAGATGAATCATGTGGTCTTGGATTCATTGAAATTAACATCAGGCCTATCAATCACTCATTTCCTAATCAAATGCAAGAAAATAATACACAAGCATGCCCTTCAACTAATAAGGTACTATTGGTAAAAAAATGTCGGCTAAATCTATGCAAATTCCAACACTCACTTTGGGCCCTAGTTTACATTAAAAACTTTAAGTCGAATTTAAAATTGGCATTATACGTCTATTAGTTCTCTGCAAGTTGCAGTTTGTGACCTTCGGATGTTCCCTGTTTATCCATTATATCTAAAAAGAATCTTGCATCTTTTTTCAAAATAAAAGTATAATTGGCGGTAAATATTTTTCATGGCATAGACAGTAGTAGAACAGTAGGTACAGGTTGGTATTGCTATTGTGAAAAACTAAATTATGAATGAACAGACACAAGAAATTGAAGAAAGCAAATAAAACAAAGAATTAAATCCAGAAAAAAAAAAAAACATTTAAAGAATTTTCTCATCTCTTGAAACTACATATTATAAGCATGGAACACGCCAGATGCTCAAATCACATCACTATACCCTGTCAATAATTAAATCTAGACTCCAAGAACCATTCAGGTGAACATTTGCATCATAACCTAGAAGGCAATTTGTCCATGCAAGATACCATTCGACAACAAAGAAGACAATATGGCTTTTGCTAAAGTTTCAATACAATAGTCCTACTTTCCTTTGTTTTTGACAGCAATTTCACAACAATCGCTGGCCATCAGATGCGCAAAACAATCTCAACGGGAAGGAAAAACAGAGAAAATTATTCCATGCAACAGAGAAAAGGAGAAAAAGAACATGTACATGTAGCTCATCAAGATCAAAGTTATAAAGAGGGAAAAAGAAAGACAGATCACCCTTCGAGGAAGCATTTACTGACGACTCAGGAAGAGAATCAACGGGGCGAATCACTGACGTCGTCATGACACCTCTCTTGTGACGCTGATCGTCACTCCCATCAACATTGTCTACACTCCAATCCTGAACAACGTCTGCTACTGTAGTTGAAGAAACAGCTGCTTTTCGGTGCACGGCAGCAGGTTTATCGCTAATGCAGCAAGACGTCGCTTTTTCCTCAGTTGTGGCCATTGTAGTGGATTTGCAAGCTCACCAAAACCGCCGTAGTAGCTCCCGCTGCAATCTACTGACATACAGCAAATCTCAGGACAACCAATCTCTTCCACCACCACCCGGTCTCCCTCTCGCTCTCCCTCTTCCCTTCTATCTCACACCGTCGTTGCTAACTGTTAAATAATCGTTATTTGGATTATTGATTTAGAACAACCTAGAAGATCGCAACTGCAATATAAGATTGTGTTCTGCTCAGTGTACAAGTTCCGCCACCAAGGGATTCGGAAGCCAGGACTCCGAAACAGTTTCCTTGTTGTTCGGGATGGATGAAATTTCTAGGAGTCCAATTTATAGGACGATGGAGATAAATTCACGTGCCGTTCGCACAGGCTTTAGTTTTTTCCTTTCAAGGGCTGGGATGGAATTAGGTAGATCGATTCCTTTTTAACGATCCACAATTAGGATGGCAAAAGGATCTATTTTGGATGCCTGGGCGTCTGATTGTCACAAATGTAGCTTTTTATAATAGGAGTAGTGTAGCGTAATATTTGATGTTTCTCTTTCAATGGGAAATTGAGGATGGATATCCTGTTTTTTCGTTTTTTTTTTATTATTTTTTCGAGTGTTATGCTTATCACCAGGACTAAAGACTCTGAAGTAATGGAGATATGGGAGCACTCCGCACTCGCCACTCGGGGAGTAGTGTGACCAGTGATAGACTGATAGGAGCATCTACTTGTCAGAAAAAAACATTGTATTTATGTCAATAAAGAAATTAAATATTCTAGAATGCCCAACAATTTTAAGTATTTTAAGAAAAGACCTTGCGTCAAAAATGTTACATCGGCCCCTTGTACTTTTAAATTCTACATTTGTTGCTCCAAAAGTAAAGAGCTCCTCTTCTTCTCCCCGGGGCCCCCAAAATCCCAACCCATTGACCCAACTATTAGTCTATTACCGTAGCATAATCCATCATCATGTGCTGTTGAATGAGGATGCATTCAGAATTTATTAAAAATAATTTATAATATGTTAACGTGCAAATATGTAAATTTATGAAACAATATAGATCATAGATGGGAATCTGTACTAAAATATTAAAAAAGGCTATTTCTTATTTTTGGTAATTAAATAAGGCTATATCTAGCCATCTAGGCTTAAGCTAAGCCTATGATTCATGTGCCAACAAAGGCTATTAGTTGTTCTGTCCAAGTTGAATAAATTATAGGGGTTTTGCAACTTTTTGTCCTAAATATTAATAAAAGATAATATTTTTATAAAATAACAAAAATAAGTAAGCTTTTTTTGAAAAATATTAAGGAAGGGCAATGACACTGTTCATCGCCTTCCTTTGCGTTTGTATTCATCCTGAACCTCAACTGAATCGGAGCCAACCGCGGAGCCGTCCAAAACAATGTAATCACATATGTTCCTCATTAAGGCATAGCATCATCGACCAGTTGAACGATCTGACCCGTTTGAGCTTCAAACTTTTGCTCGCAACGTTAACAAGAATCGTCTAGAGCCGTTAGTAGGAAAAACGTATGTAAAGTGGGCCAGGCATCTTCAATGGAAGAAGCGCTGAAACAGAAAATGCACCCATTCCCAACTTCAAATCCAAACATCCTGTCAAGTTTTCAAGGATTCAAGCATATAAGAACCCACCCATCTCTTGCTTCCAGAGAAATCCAGGTCTTCAGAGATCGAACACCCACATGAAAAAACTTCAAACGAAACCTAAGCAAAGCTGCAAAGGGAGCCCCACCTACAATGCCCGAATACTCAGGATCATTCGTAGAGTTTCCACGATCGCTCATAGCCAAACCAAACGGAGAGGGGGAAAGAAGAAGAGTACGACGTCCTGCCGCCTGGTACTGGTTTCACAGACCGGATGCTTTTGTCTCTGACCTTTCTTTATTAAACGAGAGAGAGAGAGAGAGAATTTCAGGCATTTCAAAAGAGTTTTGGTGGAAAATTCTCCCACGAAAAATGAACAGTCGTGGCGCTGCAATGGTCAGAGACAGTCAAACAGGTAATGCATTGTAAAACAGTAGTGATTTCATCTAGCACGCATCAGAAAACAAGTGCGAATCGTGAATATCAGCCGTTAGATTTAAGGTGTTCGTGGCATAGTGGAGACAATCGTGTTCGTGTTTCGGTTTTCCTTCACTGGTACAGAAAGGGAATTCCGGCCTCCATTGCCCTTCATTGATATTTTTCAAAATAATTTATCTTATTTTAATTATTTTATAAAAATATTATCTTTTATTGATATTCATGGCAAAAAATTGCCCTTATCTGCAAAAAAACCCTAAATTATATATGGTTAGCCAATGGCACATGCATTACATTTAATTGGATAAATAAATACATTAGTATTCATCTCTAATAAGATTGTATGGATAAGATTTTACTTCAAATTAGGCCATAAAGGGATTAAGTCTTTTACTATAAGTTCGGATAATTAAGACTCATTTTGGAAGGAGTATAAATATAAATATATGGAGTGCAAAACTTTATATTTTGTATCTATTTGTACTGTATATCAAATGAATAAGGTTTGGAATTGAAATGTATTGATTCTAATTATTTGACTGGTCAAAATTAGTATTTCATTTTCATTTATGGTCATTCTTCTTATTGCAAATTTTCATTTCAATTATTGTCTGAGTCCAATTTCCAATGATTTTGATTCCTATTCCAATTCGAACGGCAAATCAAAAGGACCCTTAGATAATTAATCCTAGGCTCCAATTGATAAGAACACAAATACAAATGGAGATTACATGTATAAACTATAAAGTGTACATATTTGCATTTACACTCTTCGTAAATGGAGCCTAAATGATTTTATTGTGACTCAGTTTGAAAACAGTATAAATACAAATATGTACCATATAAATATATATAAAATAATACAAAATGCAAGTTTTTACACTCTATAAGTTTATATTTGTACTCCTTCCAAACTAAGCCTAATAAGAGCAAGGTTTAAAGTATAGATACATATTGGGTATCATATCAATGGGTCAGCAATACACAAAATAAAGGGAATTTCGGGGTAAGACCTATTTCAAGGAATTGCCAAGGCCTTTAACCCCCCCTCCCAATATGTTTGAAAGAAAAACTAAAATTGCGTTTGTTTGCAATGTGAAACCTCATTGATATAAAAGTCTATCGATGGAGTTTCACACCAAATGATCTAAAATCTCTGAAACGTTGACCTTCAAAAAAATGTGATCATTGATGTAAAGCTCTACTATAAATGAGGTTTTAGTGTTTTACATCGATTTATAATATAAAACTCTGTTCCATCCAAACACCAACAAATTTAAATCGTGAGTAAAATTTTACATTGATATTGATTTACATTGCAAACAAGCACCAACAAAATCGAATCAGTGTAGGTTTTTACATCAATGAGATTTTACACTATAAACAAATGTAGCCTAAAAGAAAATTCAAAATATATTGATACAAAATCCGATATGCCCAATTTAACGTATCGGACTGTACCGATACTATGAACCTTGAATAGAGATAGCAACAAATACAATATAGAGATGATCATGGGCTCGCCCAAGCCAGACCCGGACCAGGTTTTTATAGGGCATTAACAGCTTTGACGCCTTCCCGGGCATGGGCCCCGCCTACACCCCGAGCCTAAGCACAGTCGCCAACTGGGCCAGGCCGAACATCTGGGCTGGCTTGTGAAAATTAATAGATACTTATCTATTTTTTTTTTAATTTAAAATTGTATCCTAATTTTACATGTCTTAATACGGTCCCTTTCTTGAATTCTCATTTCACATTGATTTAATTACAATCCATCAAAATTAAAAAGCAAAGGAAACCCCCCATAGATTACAAATTTACAATGCTGTGGGCGTAGACTGAGCATTCAAACAACATTCAACAGAATCATTATACCTGATTGACTCAAAGCGCATATATAAATTATAAAATTTAAACATCATCGATACCCATAAATTATAAATCTTTCCTTGTAATGCCGTATAAGATGCAAAAGGCTGTGACAGTGAGGGAAATCCTGTTGCTGAGTCGTTATATAGTCAGTTCTCATTGGCTACATACATGAAATATCATCATCATCAGGCATGTTCATGAAGAACCTGACATGTGACATACCAATATATTAACTAGGCATGTCATGGATGGACCCTCTGCCATATATCATCCACTTGGGTTGCTCCATTCTATAATTTATTTCCGTAAACCTTTCTAATGACATTATGTGGTGATGATTTCATGTGTTAACTATAATTTTGTCTTCATGGATGGAACCTTTTTGGTTCCTATAAGAATATCAACTCGCCATGGCTGATTCAGCACCCACATGTGTGCAAGTGGATTAATGTCTTGGTTGAGACTGATGACTCCAATCCCCGTCGTCTATATATCTGTAAAGTAGAGACGTCGGCGGATCGGGTTAAGTGAAAGCCTGCCTTCACCAATCATACAGGATTCGGGTCAGTCAGCTTAATCGGGTCGAATATGGCCAGCACCAAACATAACGCATTGTATATTTAATTACGCAGTGTTAGTCTTCTATTTTCGAAAAATAATGGCACTAGTCGTGGGGCAAGTCGGGGCAAGCTTCATAATAACCCATTCCAATTAATCGGGTTGGGTGCGGGTTGGATTGACTACAGGTCAGGTTTAATCGGTTGAGCCAAAACTGTATCAAACCCAACCCGCAGAAGAATCCAAAGCAAATAAACAAAAGAAATGGACCTGCTGGATGTGGGGGCTCATGTCATCTATTTTATAGATGACTTGTTTCTTTGCTATACCGGCACATTATTGACGATTTTGATTAATGAGAATAACGCTGGGAAGGGATTGAATCGAATTGGAGAAGCATATTCAAAGTTGATTTGCTTATGGAGTTCAGATTACAATTAAATATTGAATGGTATAAATAAATTAAATTAAAAATGACTAAAATATTATATATTAGCTTAAAAATAAATGAAAATGACTTGAATGTTGTATTTTATGAACAAAATAAATTTAAAATAATTATATTAAACTTGAGCATATGACAACTTAGTAAAAACACAACTTTCGAACCAAATTTATCAATAAACACAACCTTTTAATTATAAACAATGCGGATTCAAAATACACTCTTAATGGGATCGAATTTGAATTTAAACAATCGGATACAATATACAACTCTTTTTTTTTTTTCTTTTCTTTTACTAATTTATTTGGTGATACACACCACTAATATCCCCCCCTTTTCAACATTGATGGTTGTGGGAATCAAGTAGTCTATGTCATGTTGAAATAGACCAACTAACATACC